TAATCAAGTCGGCGCTGATGCGCTCGCATGTGGCTATTGTAGCCTATTTTGGCAGTAAACTCCCGTGCACAGTGTGGGCACGTGAGTTTGCCATTGGTATAATTGTAGTTAATGGCGGCGGGAGGACGGGCCTTCAGTTCATCGCGTTTAGCGTCAAGGTCTGCTTTACGCTGCTCCTCGAAGTCGCGGATTCGCCTCTTTACAAGACCGCGCCATTCTGGCCGTTGTGCTGCCAAAACCTCAAATTGAGAGGGTTCGATATTGCATCTTTTCATGTGTCTCTTCTGAACATCTTTAAATCGGAGGAGTTGACCGCCATGCTTTCGCTTGCCCTCCTCTAGCTCAGAATAGAAGATGCGCTTCGCCACTCGCTCATCCGCCATCCGGGATACGTGACCGCACCACCGAAGCTGTCGACGCATTAAGTAGGATTCAATGCCACCAACATTGGCTCGTCTTAGAACTTCGGTGTTTCGCACTCGGTCGGACCATCTGATCTTCATGATGGTGCGAAGGCATTTGAGGTGGAATCGATCCAAAGTGCGTATGTGGTGACGATACACACACCAGGTCTCGGAAGAGTACAGAAGGTTTGGCAGTACAATCGCCATATATACAGATATTTTTGTGGCTAGTTTAAGGTCTTGCGAGCAGAAAACCTTGGAACGCAGCTTCCCAAATGCTGCAGCTGCAGCACTGATTCTGCTATTGATCTCAGCATCAAGGTCACACTTAGCTGTAATAGTGTTCCCCAGATATCGGAACTTGTCAACCTGTTTCAACATATCTTCACCAAGCTTAATTGTCAGTGTCTCACGACCTTGTGTATCCAGGGACATCACTTCCGTCTTTTGACACTAATCTTAAGGCCGAATTTGCAGCATGCTTGATGAAAAACGGTCATCAGTTGTTGTAGGCCTTCTGGGGATTCTGCAAGAAAGCACAAGTCATCGGCATTCATAATTTCAGTAATAAGTGCATGCGAGACTTTGGTGCGCGCCTTAAGTCTAGCCAAATTGAAAAGACTGCCATCAGTGCGGAAGCGGATGCGGACTCCTTCGGAGACAGTATTTAGGACCTCCTTGACTACTACCGCAAAGTATAAGGCGAACAGTGTGGGCGCTAGAACGCACCCTTGTTTCACCCCACAGGTGACGGGGAAAAAATCAGACTGTTCACCGTCTACAGAGACACAGCACTGCATATTGTCATGCAGGAGTCTCAGGAGGCGCACAAACTTCTCCGTGCACCCCAGTTTTCCTAGCACCATCCAGAGAGCCTCACGAGGCACACTGTCGAACGCTTTCTCCAGGTCAACAAAGCAGAGGTACAACTGACGACCTTGTTCTCTGCTTTTTTCCTGCAGTTGACGTACCGAGAAAATAGCTTCACATGTGCCTCGGTCAGGTCGGAAGCCAAACTGGGTTTCGGGCAGAATCTTTTCTGATAAGTCCTTCAAGCGGTTTAATAGGACTCTTGCAAAGGCCTTTCCGGGGACCGATAATAACGAAATACCGCGGTACGAGTTGCAGTCAGAACGGTCACCTTTGTTCTTGTAGAGGGCACTAATGCGAGACAATAGGCCCCCTTGGGGTCATATTGACCCTTTTTTATGACGGGAACGTACAGGGTTGCTCATCGGCAACAATGTTTACTTTGAACACTTTTCTCTGGAGGCCCAAAATCGGTCAGAGGCCCCCAGGGGCCCCGTTAAAGGATCCCATGGACCCCTCGATTTTTTGACGGAAATAGCTAGAGTGGCTCATATACAACAACTTTTATCTACAAAGTTTTCATCTGGGAGGTCTATATTACAGCTTTAATACTGGGACTTAAAAATAATTCGACCTGTGAGTCGCCATGATGACATACAATTTTTCGACCGGGAATGAAAAAGGTTGCTCATCATCAAACAACGTTTGCGTAGAACACTTTTTTCTGCGGCCTCAAAAACTGGCAGTAGTCACCAGGGTCATAAAAGGCCTAGATTAAGCTAATCTAGGCCCTTCCAGATGAAAACAATGTAGATAAAAGTAGTTGTATATGAGCCATTCAATCCATTTCCGTCAAAAAATGGAGGGGTCCATTATGACCTTTTAAGGACCTAGGGACCACCGGCTGATTTTAAGCCGCAGAATAAAGTGTTTAAGGCAAACGTTGTTACTGATGAGCAACCGTTTCCATTCCCGGTCAAAAAATTGTAGGTCATCATGGCGACCCACAGGTCGAATTATTTTGTAAGTCCCAGTATTAAGACTGTAGGGACCTACAGGCTAATCTAGGCATCCCAGATGAAAGAGATAAAAGTGGTTGTATATGAGCCATTCTAATCATTTCCGTCAAAAAATAGAGGGGTCCATGGGATCCTTTAACGGGGCCCTGGGGGCCTCTTACCGATTTTTGGCCTCCAGAGAAAAGTGTTCTAGGTAAACGTTGTTGCTGATGAGCAACACTGTACATTCCCGTCAAAAAACAAGGGGGTCAATATGAAACCAAGGGGGCTTGTTGTGGAAGGAAAGGGGGTCCATTTTTTCTTTTTACAAGCAGCCCCCTTTCATACACCTCAACCAGTGAAACCACCCCAACTAAGAAAATTTTGAAAATGTGTAATTTGTATGGCCGCCCCCCTAGTGCAAGCAACCCCAGTCTCCCCTACAGTCTAGCCCCGAGGATGAGCTATGCAAACCGGAGCGGAACCGGCTCTGTACATGGGTACGCGGTATTGTGACTGGTACATATTGTCAAGCGATTGAGTTCCACTACGCTACCCAAGTACCCATGCGAATCCGCTGCAGTTTTTATAGGGCTTTATACTTTGTAAGTACCTACGTTCACATCACTATTTTCATCCAAAATTAGTAGATACTGCAAATTTAATGATTTCGTAACGAATTACCCATGTTTTATTAGGTTTGTGACAGTTTATTACACATTTAATGGCTAAATATTCGTGTAATAACAACAAAATTACCTTGATGTTGGATTTCATAATTTCGCAGAGTTTCGTCAAACAACTGTTTGAATTTTTGTTCAGACGTTTTCCCCGTAGGCGCCTCCATCACTTATAACCATGAAACAGCACTGATTACGCTAATTACTGATTATTTAACATAAAATAACAAAATACGGTCTTGATTTTTGTGCCGCTGTCGCCATCTTGTAAACAAACCGACTCTAGCGCCGCAGTGGCGTAAAAACGTACTTATTCAATTAAACAGCGGATTTTCGGTCCGCCGCTGTGTTGAACGTTTGGAATGCTACAAAATTCAGCCAGTGAACTAGTTGTTTGGTTAGATGGCGGCGTTTGATTAAAGAACTAGTTGTTTAATTACACAGCGTTTTTAACCAGTTGGCTGCGACATATCCACGACCGTCGCGCCTGAATGCGCTACAGATTACGCACACTCGCCCAGCCACAATGCGCGTGTTATTATGAAAAATAAACTCGACACGCGATGTGTCTTTGTTTTTGCAATAACAGAAAAGGTTCAGGCATTTCTTCGGTCCGTTCGTATCAGTGGAATCGTTCGGTAGATAAGAGCCGAGGTGACCGAGGTGCGGCTTTGTTGACGAATTTGCAGATTAAGCGGGGAACAATTCCCGGACCGGAATTGAATCATCAGTTTAGTATTTCATTGGAATGGAATGAGTGCTTCGATGTGTTTGTGGGCTGCGAGAGATGCTATACTTTCATACAGAGCGTCGCTCATTACGTCATGCGTGCCTCGGTGCTCGGTGCTCGATCGTAACCATAAGCAGCCATATTCAACTTGCTTTTAAATAAAACAATAGTCATCGCCCTAATTTCAAAGTCATCTGTCTGTACGTAGGTAGAGGGATATTTTCTAAACAAGCACTAAACGGAAACTACAAGCCGTGTCACAATGTAACAAACTAGGTGTTCTAAACTTTTCTTGTTAGAATGCAAATTGTGTAGAATTATTGATCTGAAAACGTGTCTAAGTTGAAATCACGTGCCTGGGAATACGTCATCGAATGAAGTCAAGTTCAACTTAAAGTATTGTATCCAAGAGTGTTTTTATTGTGTCTGGCACCTAAAACGGCGGTTACGTAACCTAGATCGAATAAATTGCTCGGACCACCTGCATGCAAAGCAAATACATAAGTATATTCACTATAATAGCTAATTTGCGACATAGTGGTGTGGTGATCTGATCCGCTGACATAACTGCTCTATTTTATATAATGCTGTATAACTTATGTTACTTGGTAGTCATCTATGTATACTACAATTCTTTTTTTTCTACAGTATTTGAAAAATCTCATCACAAAAGTCAAATAGAGAAATAAGTACCAATGAAGCAAGGTAAGCTTAGCAACGGTACGCCTGATTTGCTAAGGCATCTCCAGTTAGAGTGAGCCTGGTGCCTATGGCTTGCTATGTTTTCGTCGCTAAGTAGCTCTCGATCCTCTCGTTTTCATCAACTGTAGTTGTTGGATTTGGAGGAAAAGGGGAGAGGAGGTGTCATAATATGACAGTAGACTCCGTAGAGAGCCCAGACTTCTTCTAAGTTCCACTATTGTCTACTAGTAGCGCTGTCGGAAAAGTATTTCAATCCGCCACCAGGGAAACGTTTGTAATATGAATGTAATTAGCAACTGTGTGTGTGCGTTTTACTCCCCTCGCTTCCCCTCTACTTGGCGACAACTATTTTGAAACAAAGTACTGTTACAACGTCTCCTCTCTCTTTTTACTCCGTGGCTTTGAGTAGCGTGGAGGCCTACCTTGGTGGTGCTGCGGGGAGGGCGCGCCGTGCTGGAAGCTCGCGTACATGCCCTGCTGCGCCGCCACCGACACATGGTTGCTCCCGACGCTAGCCTGCATGTGCTGTGCCGCCGACACCTGCACATAACATGTACCATTTAAATGAAAATAAGAAATAGAAAAAATGTCATGCTTCGACCGGGGACAGATGTCGCTGGATCGTCGCTTGGAGACGAGCATCAAGAGATAGAAAATTTGGCATTCATCAACCGGTGCATCGATAGCTCAGTGGCAGAGCGGTGGGGCGTTTGCCCATGCGGCCCGGGTTCGATCCCCGGTCGATGCATGTAATTTTTTCTATTTCTTATTTCGAGTGCATTAAATCACAACAGATGTACCATGTAAACACAATGACACAAGCAAATAACACTTTTACTTACGAGCTTTATAATTAAGTTTATAGACAATACATCTGCTCTTATTTACGTGTAAATATCTATGATATCGCCAGGGATTTTCCCAGAGTTCAGAATTGATAGTAAGAGTAATAATAATAAGTTACAAGATATTATAGCCACTAGATTTTTCACCTATTGTTGTTTGTTGTGTTAGCAATCAGCTAGCACTCAACAATGCAATCAATTGTAAACACAAATAAATACGAGGTGCCTGTTTGTTCGTTAAATAATAATTTCACTTCAAAGCATACCTTCACACTCCGAGCAATTTTCAGCAGTTCATTAAGGCAGTATAAACATTAGCGACGAGTCAATCCTGGGAACTCGTCGCTACACTGTATTGAAGAGTCTCTTGATTCAAATATAAACTTAGAGAGCCTTGTATCAGTTTTCACGACGGGAACGATAACACGGTAAAAGCCGGGGTTTACGAGACGCCGCGAGTACATTTCACACAGTTTACGTTCTTCGGGCGGTATCGAAATGAAATCGCGTGTCGGTTATGTGTATTGATTGGCAATATTCTACCGCACACCGACTTTTTAATATACCATAAAAACAAGCTATTTGCATGACTATAGCGCTAAGATATTTTCTTTTAGATAGCACAAGTTTCGACTATGTAGAGACGGTTGTTTGATTCAATCATCTAATTTTAAGCAATAAAACGATTTTATTCGTTTATGATTGTGAATCAAAAATTTGAATGGAATCAACGCCTTCTCCGACGTCACGTTAAATTAACATTCTCAGCTATTAAATAATTAACCGGAACTCGTTTAGAATTCTAACAATTAAAGCATCTCTGTCTCCCATTGAAGAATTTCATGCTTTCGCGATTCTCCTAAGTCGAAGTCAAATAAATCCAAGTGTTTCATACCTTGTATTCGGTAAATGGAAACTGTTTTGTATTATATTACACAGTTCGTTGTTCTATTACGAACGACGCAGTTTTCCTAATACGTTACACAGAATATGGAATGCCGTACTAAGTTCAGGGCCAGTTATGTGGACAAAAAACAATCAAGTTTATCATCGTCACATTAGCATTAGCCCGGAGTGGAAGACGCGTAGATTTATGAGGAAATATGTCGCTGCTGACAGCTGGCGGTCTGGCGGGCTGGTCGCGGGCCGGTCGCGCGCCGCGCGCGGGCACCGACGCAACGACGCTAAACCTGTTTCAAAGTCGGCTCCGGTGCTCCGGCCACCTCCCGCACAGAATACCATATACCCTCCGCCCGCTACACCCGCAATTTTTGTTGCTCGCGTCAATAATATGCGTGCTGAAGCCGCTAAGCCGCGAGCGCATAGCCGCTCCGTATTGTAAGGCCAGACGGGCTAACGGCACCTTATCTAGTCCCACATCGGTTTCCAAACGACCCAAGGATTGGTATCGCGAGCAGGTAAGGACGCGCCGTCCCACGAGAGCGGATCTATGACCGTTTACTTTCTGCTTAATCGCATGCAACATTCGACACGGCCATTCTTAAAACGTCGAATAATAAAATTTGCATCGCATTTGCATTTTGGATGTACAGAGTATTTGAGAGCCAGTGAAAGTGGCAATGCCTTTTTACATCAAATTGAGAAAATTATGTCCATATTGATGAGTCGGCTGGCTTTGCTCTTACGTATAACACCATCGATTATGTCACTTACGTTACGACTGTTATATCTTCACGATTTTACTTCTGAGCTCTACCTTGAGCTGTTAAATTACTACCTACAGTAAAGTATTTTAACAGTTTCCAAATACGGTCATGTAAGAGAATTTAGTACTTATTAGAAAGGTTGAGCGCAATTTAAATTTTTTGTACTTTAAGTATGCAAATTAATTTGACACCATAAAATCAAACAATTACTTTCGACCTTATCCGTCGATATCGGTCAAACTATTTAAATAAAATGTATATAATCGTACCCTTTCTAAATGAACGCAGCCATTAAACCAGCTAAACGTTAAGCTTTAGTAAAAACAAACAGATTGGGACAAGATAGCAACTAATGAGATACGCTACGGAACCCTATTAACATCGCGACTTCGTGGAACCGGCATGAATTCGTTACAAAATAAAATATTCAGTTCGACAGGAAATCGTTAGTTGACAAAAAAACGCAGAAACAATATCGGCAGGTAACAATTACACGAACACGCATATTAATGTGTGAAATGTAAGGGTCTTTCTGCACTGACCCAAACCGGATGCGTCAAAATACCGATCCAAAACCAGTGCTTTACAGTCCGCACTAACCACGCCTACCTCACTGGCTAACTAATGCAGCATACGAGAATATAATATCTACATGACTATCATTAAAAGACTACCTACTTAAATTCTTAAGAACATTTCTGTAAGTTTTATTTTGCCTTTCAGCGTAGGCCGAACTTCAGTCGACAAAGTGACAAAAACTCGTTAAAGCTAAGTTTAAGTATTATTTTACCATCAAATATTTCATAACTAGGAACGATTCTCGATTCTTATCTATGAGAACTTTATCGGATCTATATCGGAGCAGTGCACAACGCCCTAAGGGCAAGAGTATCGTACGAGATAAGGTCGGTGTAGGGTTCCTCCAGGGTACCACCCGCCCGCAGTGTACCGTTTCGCCCGCCCACCACACCGTATTTTACTTATTGCTAGCTCGTCGTATAAAATCGATAGCTGACAAATACGAATCCAGAACACCTTAAAAGCTTTTCAAAGGCTAAAGGTTAAGCTAGGCTTTCTAATTTCAAGCATCTTCTGGCTTTGATATAATTCGAAACTATTTCGGGTCTAAGCCTCAAAGGCAAGTGTGTGGACTAGACAGCATCACATTTCGCCGATCTTCCCGCCGACATAACGCCACCTACGATATCTTTCAGGTTTATATGTTTTATATAATCACCATACTCTTACATAAGAATTCAATAGCAAAAAAATCCTTTATTTTAATAACTACTGGCACTTGTAATAAAAATGGCGCGTTCGAATATTACCACTTCTAGTAAAAAAATATGCGTCGTAATAAAAATAAGCAGCTAATATAATATACAACACCGCATAGCTAAAGAGTTTTCCATATGAAATTCTGATATAACGTTCGCTGGCGGAATTGGAAAATCTATGCGGCGCAGCTATATCGTAGCGCAAAACTAGATGAAGTTGATTTACCTACAAATTGACGTCTATCTAATACGGTAAACACAAATCTTCATACAATATAGGACCCTATTCCTACACATTTAACCTTCAATTTCTCAGCGTACCAACTTGCTTATTACAGCTCTAAACTGAATAGCAGTACAGAATTAAAATTAGTAAAAAGGTCTTCGCCCGAGGGAGTCGTTAAAAGAAGAGCTCTTAAACAGTAGAGTCCTAATCAGTAGCACACTAACTGCCGACTGTGTTCCCTACATCGCGAGGGTTGTGAAACTTCCGCATTGCCTACGTAGACCACTCTACATGATGTCTACCTATACATCTTATAGGTAGACTACCACCAGCAACACACCAACCTACCTATTTAAGGGATCAGCTCATACTGTTTTTTATTTTGCTACCACTAACCATAACCAGTGTAAGGCGATCCCTGAAATAGGTAGGTTTATTTGATTTTTCACTACTGTCTGGTGAATTCAATTTTTCTTTTGTCCTTTTCACGCCAATTTAGATTCCTATACACTGCAAAAAAGCAAATAAATGGTTGGAAATATTAAAGGATAGCTAGGGTTAGGCTGTTTGGACTTTGGACCATTCTTATGGTATGCGCATAAGACTTGCAATGCCGGTTCGAGTGTCCAATCGGACGTGGGTTCGACTGTACAAGTTGCAATAGATGTTGGGCTGATAAAAAACCAACCCCTGTACACTAGCAAAACACTAGATAATAATTCTACAGTCTGCTGGTTGGTACTCTACTCTTAACTCCATTTTTAAGTAGGTAGCTACAAAATCAAGAGTTCTATTCTAAACCGTTGCGAATATTTCAATTTCAGTTACACGCTTATCGCACGAAATAAACAATTTTATAATATGTAATTCTACACGTGGAGCTGAAAATAATACATACCTATTCTGTCTGACTTTTATCTCTAAAAGCAATATAAGGAAAAACCGTAGTTGATAGTTAATAACTCTATAGTTGATAATGATTGGTATTGTATTGTAAAATGTCGCGTCGGGGCCGGGTAAGACCATTAGCAAAATGTCTCGTATATCGCTAACTAAATTCTTGTCTGCGCGCAATAAGTACTATCAGCAGCACATCAACCTAGCCCTTCAAGAGATCGACCTATACTTTTAGGTTGCTCTGCTGTTGATAATATAGGGACGGAATGTTGAGCGTGTCAAATCAAGAAAAATTACAATTTCGAATTGAATTTTCAGTTTTTTTCAGCAGAGTTTCGCAAAACGTGATTCAATAATTTTTCTTCAATTTGTTGCCATGCCAGATATTCGATGAAATATTAAACCTTCCAACTGCAAGAATCGGTTGTATACCCACTTAAAAATCGTAATTTTAAAACATAATTTAGGATTGTTATCGGCAAATCAAAACGTCTCAAACTATAGTTGTTAGGTTGGTACAGTCAATCTAACACTAAGTTGACAGTTTGAACTATGGGCCGTTCTTGTGTTACGTGCACGATACTTACCTTGGCGGTTCAACTGTCTAACCGAACTTGAGCTTCACTGTACCTAAAATGTGTACGAACGAATACGTAATAAGTAGTAGCGTGACGCACATTTTAGTCTGTCACCATGGGGAAAATATCAAAGGTTCATCCACCACGAGTACGCGGGAAGTAGGCGTTATTGACAAAATGTATCGTAGGAAGGCGAATTCCATTGAGAATATTATTCATTGATCGCGTACTAGTGACGTCACGGGGCTCGAGACAGAA